ACGTATTCTTCAACAGATCCACTAATTTTGGCAAAAGTGAGTGAAGGCTCCAGAAGAATATCATACGCCATCTCTCTGTGCGCTTCCGCCGCTTCGGCTATACTTGTGAAGAGAACCCAAAACTTTCCCCTAACCTGAAGACCTTTACCGTCAACTCCCGGTTCATTGAGTGCTTCCCCGACACCAAAGTGATCGTCATAGAGATCTCTTCGGTGAACCATAAGCTCAACGGTTCCGTCTTTAATACTACTGCCTCCCTGTGACCTATCATTCAAAACAGTCATTTGAATGTCTTGTTTCTCGTCTCTAATAGCGATCCGACTGTTGACGGGATAGTAGTTTCCAGCGATCTCTTCAGTAACAGTCAGTTTCCAAGTGGGCCTAAAGTCACGCTTTCGCTCCAGAAGTTGTCGTCCGTTAGCGTCGGTATAAAAGAGTCCATTTGTGGTGAGGTTTGTCTCCCATCGGGAGATAATCTCTTTGCCGATCTTGTCGTCCACAGGAATGGGTCCGACAACAAAGTCAAACTCAATCATATCATTGTTCGGCCAAATCCTTATCACTTGTGAGACATAATCACTGACTCTTTGACGAACTTCTTTCACATCCGATGTCTCGACCAAATCCGCCTGAAGTGTAGTTGTATTGTAGAATTGAGGGGAATCTCCATCTGATCTAAAGATATAAGCGCCCGATGGCTGATGGAAAGAGTCGTTATTGTCCTTTGCTTTATAAAACTCAAAGTTTTGTTTAAAGTCAACAACTTTTCCGTTCTTTAACTGAATTGCATTCAAAGCTCCGGTTTTGTCAAACATTATGTTTAATGATTTGGATTTTATAGTAAAAGCGTCCGATATTTTGGTGATTTTCGCTTCATTTTCAATATTTTCAGCGCTGTTTGCTTTTAACATATAAGTGGAGAATCCGAGTGCCGGGACCTGAGCTTCAAATACCAACTCATCCTTTGCTTTACTCTTTCTTTCCTTAAGACTGAGAACTGATTCAGGAATAGCAACGATATCTGATTTGACAGCATTTCCTTTCGGGTCCAACACTTTGTATGCCTTGGATGTGACGGGAAGTCTCACCATATGATTGACATTATGTCCAAACGGGTTATATAGAGTGACCGCTAGATTATCGGTGCCTTCAGTGACAGCACAGGCGCTGACATTCAGTTGATTGCAAAACAATTGATTCAAATTTTTATCGCCAATCAATATATTCAGGGACTCATCGACTACTGATTGACACTTCTCTATAGTCTTATACAGTTTTAGGGCATAATTATCGGAAACGTGTTGTTTCTCAGTACCGGCGACGGCGTCGTGATGTTGCATAACTCCCATCCATTCCCTCAATGGCGTTACTTTTGCCTCATTTTTGCCGTTCCCGAGACTCAAGACATCCAATTGTTTGCACACTTGAAGAGCATTATTGCCCACTTTTTCGTAGCGTTTGAGCGCCGGTCGACTTGTGAAATATCCGGTCCAATAGGAGTGAACAAATGAATTATAGGGGAAAAAGTCGTCCGACTTTGTGGTAAAGGTATGGTTTGATTTATGTACACCATTAAGATAACAGGTGGGCGTCGAGTAAAAGACATTAACATTGGATCCCTTTTGTTTCCTCGCGTTCACATATGTGATCAATTTGTCCATATTTTTGAACCACGAGTTGGCATCTTGGTACATGAAGTCTGTTCCCATTGGAAACAACACGTTATTCGTGGCGTAATAGTTGGAGTACTTCTTGGCATAAGTGATAAATTTGTCCACATATTGATCCACATTATAGTCTTCGGACTCGGGGTCGTCGATGATTGGGTCGTCGCCACCGTTGGCCAAATCCCAATTGAAACCCGAGGGTGGACCTAAAATGGTAAAATTCATATTCACTTATAATGTCATTTAAGTTTTATTTTTTTCTAAGTTATAGAATAACAGAAACGTTACTTAAATAATATAAGTTATATTAAAGTAATGGTGAGAACACATACCGTAACCCATTTCCATAGCGTGAGTGAATATATCTGAAGCCTTTCCCAAGTCATCGCTTCCCTGCCATAACAACTCCATCCTCTTCTCAGCCACTCTATGAGTCTTATCCTCGTAGTCAAGGCGGGCAAAGAAGACGGCGTCGAACGCCATCTGAGCGAAGAGTGAGGCCTGTTCTCGGCTGTGACCGAAGGGGTCGATCTGCCACCCGATGCGAGGGATACCGCACTCACCGAACGTGTCCTGAAGGCGTCGGTGACCCCAAGTCATCTGGTC